AGCCCTCTTCGCGGGAAGCCGGAGCATAAAGAAAGAAGAGTATTATTATTATGTATTTGTTGTAATCAAGGTTTTTTTTTTTTTTTTTTTTTTTTTTTGGAAGTTCCATCTAATTGAATGGAGACATGTTATGTTCAACAGCAAAGAACTGGCTAGTGCTTTTTTTTTTTTTTTTTTCCTTGTTCTTTTTTTTGAAGTTTACAAGTGCAACAAGACAACAAGAGATGGCCAGTGCTTTTACTTCGGTTCAACAGACACAAAGAGCAGGCCAGTGCTTTTTTTCTTTTTTTTTCTTTTTTCTTTGTTGTTGAACATGTCTCCAGAAAAAAAAAAAACAAGAAAAAAAGCACTGGCCAGTGCTTACTTCTGTTTCTTTCGAACTTGTAATCCAAGAAAGATGGGCCTCGCTCCACTACAGAAAACACTCTGGATGCATGTGGTCGCTTTCTGCGATGAGGTGCACTCGCACGAGTCCAACATTTCAAATGTATGGGGTCCAGAAACCGTCCAGATGCATATAGCGTGGTAGGTAGTGGACCGAGGCACAACGACTTCTTATCCAACTCTTATTATAATTTAAAAAAAAAAAAAAAAACTAATGCCTTATCCGACGGAATCCGTCGCCTGATGTTTTTCTTTTTTTTTTTGTGTTCTTTTTCTTTCACTGTAGGAAAAAAAAAAAGTTGTGTTGTTCAGGCCTATCTACAATCACTCTGCGGCAATATATATATATTATATATGTTTCCTCCTTTGTTATTTGAGTTGTAGTATTCAGGATAGGGTTCGCCTCCTTTTTTGTTGGGGGGGGCGGGGGGGTTGGTGTTTTTTGTATTCAAGATAGTTTTTTTTTTTGTTGGGCCTGGGAGTTCTGAAGAGGGGCCCTCTCCCTTTTTTTTCCTTGAAGAAGAAGAAGAAGGTAATGAAAGAAAAAAAATCCTGAGCATCAGGCCCCTCTCAATAGGATCTGTCACAGCAGTTCTGAGAGACTGGGCATCGCTCCACTACTCACCGAATGTGCAAAATGAGAGTGAATCTTCCGCTAGAACATGGAAAGATACACCTCCATAGTTTTTTTTTGTCTTTTGTGCATGTGCTGAGTAGTGGATGGAGGATGGTTGTATTTTTTTTGTCTCTTGTGCATGTGCTGAGTAGTGGATGGAGGCCGGTTGTAGTGGAATTGCGTTTGTTCAGGTTTACAGGAACATACCCAAAGGGAAAAAAAAAAAAAAAGGCCTCGCCGCACCGCTCACTAAATGTGAAAAACAGAAGGGTAAAAAAAAAAAATAGGACGCGTGCACCTTTCCACGTTCCGGCAGAAGATACAGTCTCCATTTCATTGAAAAACATTTAGTTGCAGTTAGAACGGTGAGAGAGAGAGGCCTTCTCAGGTATAAGTATCCAGCAGAGGTAAGTTTTTATTTTCCCCCCCCTACACGGAAAGCTGCTCCTTCTATTGGCCAGCAGCTATCTACGGTGTATGGTAGGTTAGTAATTTTGTCTTTTTTTTAATTAAAAAAAAAAAGTTAAGAAACTTTTCTTTTCTGAAAAGGGAAATGTAGGTCATCCGTTTGTGGACATTTTACATTTTTTTTACTTTGTTTTTCACTTTTTTTTACTTTTTTTTACTTTTTTTTACTTCTTTTAAACTCCTTTTTTACTTTTTTTTTGGGCTTCCAAGTTCCTACTACATTTCCGTTTGCTGGAATCTTTTTTTTGGGAGGGGGGATCTCACTTTCTTTTTTTTTTTTTTTTGCTTCCTACATTTCCGTTGCTCGAATCTTTTTTTTTTTTTTTTTTTTTTGGTTTCCCTTTCTGGTGTCGCAGGATTTTTCCCCCCCCCCCCCCCCCCCCCTCAAAAAAAAAAAAAAACTCTCATTCACCGACCTGTTTCTGACATGTCACACATGTGCGTGACTCTGTGTACCATCTTTTTCATTCTCATTCTCATTTCGGCCTAGCTCTTCTCCAGTACAGACCAATCTATATGAATCTGGAGCTCAAAATCGTCCGGATACATTCGTTTAAAATGGTAGAACCGTCCAAACGCACCTGGTCCAGAAAGCGTCCAAATGCATGTAGAATGTTGCCTACTGGATTCAGGCCCATCATGATCATTATACATACTAGTAAATTCAGTCGCCGCAGTGCATCTGGGTTGGTAATCGAATGCATCTGGGGCGAGCTCTTTTTGTTTTTCTTTTTTTTCCTTTTTTTTTTTTTTTTTTTTTTTTACACTCCCGTCTTCCCTCGAAAAAAAACATCTAGTTATTATACCTGTATCTAGACTGCTTGTTGGTCCAAAATACAGCTATAATGACCGTACGTCCTATTCGGGGAAGATGGTGATCGAAATGCTGACATCAGCACGCAGACAATTACCGTAGACTGTACGTCGGTCCAAATACAGATACAGATATAATGACCGTACCGTGCGTTCTATTCGGGGAGGAGATGGTAATCGAAATGCTGACATCAGCAATCAGCATGTAGACAATTACCGAGAACGGATTTTGCCTGAAACGGGGCGAGATGGCACTTTTCGGAAACGCATCTGACTGCAATTACGGCCAGATCAGGATGGTCCCATTAAAAGCTGAAGACTTCTTAAAGGGAGGAAGGGCAGCATACTCACACTGGCATGGCACTTTCCGAAATGCATCTGGCTACGATTACGGCCAGATCTGGATGAATCTGTGACAGCAATCACGTCCAGAGTTGTAGAGATGAATCTGACTGCGATTGCGGCCAGACCTCGCTCTGCCCTTAGTGTCTTTTACAAGACCGTCCGTTGATTAC